GCACATGCTTTCCTCCGAAAATAAAGCGTGGTCCAGGGAGACAAAAGAAATCAAGATGGCAATCATGGTTGGAGCTATCCAGGATGAGAGGACACAAACCCCGGAAGCAACACAGGGTTTATAGGTGCTCAGGATGCAAAGAAACGGGCCATAAGCGTCCACAATGTAAGAACCCGGTTGAAGAATAGCCTTAGAGTAATTTGTCCAGACGACCTTCGATTCAGTCGTCCAGAAAAAAACTTCACAGACGACTTAAAGTTAAGTCGTGTGCAAGTCGTCCGGAAAAAAACTTCAAAGACGACTTACAGACGACTTAGTTGGATGTTATGTTTTTATTTATGTCTTTAGACGAAGATGGATGTTATTTATGTCCTTATTTATGTCTTTATTTATGTCTTTAGTACTCTCTGGATGTTATTTATTTCTTTATCTTTAAGTCGTCTGTGAAGTCTTTTGTCTGGACGACTTTCAGAAGACTTAACTTTAAGTCGTCTGTGAAGTCTTTCTTCTAGACGACTTTCAGACGACTTAACTTTAAGTCGTCTGTGAAGTCTTTTTTCTGGACGACCTTCAAATAAGTCGTCCAGACGACCTTCGATTCAGTCGTCCAGGACTTCACAGACGACTTAAAGTTAAGTCGTCTGAAAGTCGTCCATAAAAAAACTTCAAAGACGACTTACAGACGACTTAGTTGGATGTTATGTTTTTATTTATGTCTTTAGACGAAGATGGATGTTATTTATGTCCTTATTTATGTCTTTAGTACTCTCTGGATGTTATTTATGTCTTTATCTTTAAGTCGTCTGTGAAGTTTTTTTCTGGACGACTTTCAGACGACTTAACTTTAAGTCGTCTGTGAAGTCTTTTTTCTAGACGACTTAAAGTTAAGTCGTCTGAAAGTCGTCTAGAAGAAAGACTTCACAGACGACTACAAGACGACTTAGTTGGATGTTATTTATGTCCAGACGACCTTACTTTCAGTCGTCCAGAAGACCTTAGTACACAAAAATATTTATTATCATCCGAAAACACAAGTCAAACATTAGTACACAAAAGATTCATCCTAGGTTCAAACATTACTTTACATTAGCATCCGAAAAAAAAGATTCATCCTAGGTTCAAGTTCAAATACAACAATACACAAAAGATTCAAGTACAAAGACAATAGTACACAAACGCATCAAATTCATGGATCATACGTTCCCATGTTCTTATCATTGTCTTTGTTTTCCCATTCATGGATCAAATTCAGCTCTTCATATATCTCCACCGCCATCTTCTCCCTGATCAACTTCCCGTTTCTAGAACAAAGCGCTTTGGGAAAGTCCATCCCAAGAGCATGACACTCAATGTACTTCAGAGCGAAGGGGCCACAATCACCACTTCAGCACTGAGGTACTCCAGTTGTTACTCTCTCATAGGTGTAAGGCTCCAATGTGTATCGTGTCTTTTGTTCGTCAGTCACAGAGCACTCACATAGCAGATAAGGGACCATGTAAATAAAAGGCTCCATTACCTCATCGAGTTCAA